ATAACAACTCTACAGAACTAATCACTCCTACTCGAGGCCTACGTCAGGGGGATCCTTTATCCCCAGTTCTCTTTTTTATTTGTATGGAAGTTATTGCTCGAAAATTACTTCATCAATCATTAGATAAATCTTCTGGCATTAGTCTCAAAGTTACCCCATCTGCTCCGATCATCCCTTGTTTACTGTTTGCAGACGATAGTTTATTATTTTGTCAGGCCAAATCTAGAGTATGTGCTACTCTTAGGGATATCCTTAATGAATTTTCTTTAATGTCCGACCAATTGATCAATTTCCATAAGTCCTCTATCGTCTTTTCAAAGCTAGTAAATAACTCTAGAAAAGTTAAAAGTTATTTCAATATGACTCCTAAATCATTCCTTGGTCGTTATTTAGGGGTCCTTTTTAATTCATCGTCTTTTACTAAGCAGAATTTTCATCACCTTTTAGCAAAAGCAGAAAACAAATTGAATAACTGGTCTGTCAACTCAGTTTCTAAGGCAGGTAAAACTGTTTTAATTCAAAGTCATTTGGAAGCTCTTCCTTCTTATGCTATGACTACTGCGCGTCTTCCTAAAAAAATCACTAAATCTTTGGATCAAATTAACCGTAATTTCTTTTGGAAACAATCTCCGGATAAGAATGGCCTCCCCATGATTTCTTGGGACAAAATTTGTCAACCCAAAAGTCAAGGAGGTTTAGGTTTAAGGAAAACGGAAGCAATCAACTCTGCTCTCCTTGCCAAATTAGGTTGGAAATTAATCTCGGATCATAATAATTTATGGGTTCGTAGTATTCGGGCTAAATATTTAAAACATAGCTCTTTTTTTGAATGTAAACCCCACGCTAAGGACTCCTGGATTTGGAGAAAAATTTTACAAGTTCGCCCTCTTCTTCTAGGGGCTGAGATGGAAAGTTGGTTTGGGCTCTAATATTCTTTTTTGGCTAGATAATTGGTGTTCTTCTACGAATTTAATTACTTTATTAGATTTAAATATTTCTGATATTCAAAATCTTGACCTTACAGTTAATCAATTTATTACAGAAGATCATTCTTGGGATATTGCAGCTCTATCTTTAGTGGTACCTCCTTACATAGTTCAGACCATTAAAGGTATTTCTTTGCCAATTAATGATACTTTTGATGAACCCTGTTGGGGTTTTTCTGGTAATGGAGAGTTTACGGTAAAGTCAGCAACCTGGTTAGCTCATAACTTTAATTCTCCTGCAAAATGGGAATTTTCTTGGATTTGGAAACTTGATATTGCTCCAAAACTAAATATATTTATTTGGCAATTGCTACTTAATGGTCTTCCAACTAGAAATAATTTGATTTACCGTAATATTAATGTCCCTCATACTTGCCCCTTTTGTAATTCACATGCTGAAACACAGGATCATCTGTTTCTAAATTGTCCATTTATTAGACAGTATTGGGATGCAGATATCGTTAGTCATTGGATGGGAACTCAAGTTAATACCCCGAATCTCCTTACTCTTTTTTGGGACATTCGTCATAATGTTAACCTTCCTGTAAAAAAAATTATTGTTTCTTTATGGAGTATATGGAAAGGTCGTAATGCTCTTATTTTTAGTCATATCCCCTCTACTATTATGAGTATTTATTCTATAGCTTACAAAACATTTACAGAATGGAATATTCGTTCTCATCTTGATTCTTTTAATGACATTGTTCCCAAGACCCATTCTCCTCTTTACCATAAAACCATCCAAGTAGCTTGGTCCCCCCCTGCCCCTGGTGTTTTCAAAATTAATTTTGATGGTTCTGTTTGTAATAACTTTGGGTCAGCCGGAGTTGTTATTAGAGATTATATAGGAAATATTGTTGTTAGTTGTGCTTATAATCTTGGTACCTCGACTCCTATTATTGCAGAAGCTACAGCTCTGCGCAACAGTCTTCTCTTAGCTATTGAAAATAATATACGAAAACTTTTTATTGAAGGTGATAACCTTTTAATTATAAATATTTTGCAGGATAAAGCACGCTGTCCTTGGAAAATTCAATTGCTAATGAATGACGTTAAGAAGTTGTTGGCTCACTTCGAGGTTGTTGCTTCTTGCCATGTGTATCGAGAAGCTAATCGTGCAGCAGATTATGTTGCAACTATAGGTCATCAAATTTCAGGCTATGTAAACATTGACCCTAATGTAGATGCTAATTTTTCTTATTTTATTTCTTTAGATAAGTTAGGGTATAGTCTTGAGAGAAGACTTACCTAACTTTTGTATTTTTCTTATCAAAAAAAAAAAAAAAAAAAAGATTACCCATACCAGAGATGAGTCACTCTGAACATGACCCAAAATTTAATAAAGCTTGAGGAGATGATAACTGATCATATCTCAACCTAAATGTGATAACTTTGAAAGCCGACATGAACCATAAAAAGACCAGACCTATTTGAACCCAAATTAAACTGCAAGGGATCAGCCAAAGCCTAGTATCCGTTTCACTTATGCAAGAAGGCCCAAGAGTACTAACAATTGATGAGAGGGAAGGTGTTAAGAAATCAGTTTTGGGGAGAGGGTAAAGTAGTAATTCATGAATAAGTTAGTTATTGAGTTCGTTATTTTGATTCCTTTTGCTAATTGCGAGTTTGTTAGCTTGCTTCATTTTTTGGGTATTAATAGGAGTTTGGACTTTGGGGTCAAGGGGAAGGCATGAAGAAATTAAAGTTTGTTTTGGGAGAGCACTTTCCTCTCGAATGAAGGCCCTGTACTCTGTTTAATGATAAAACTACTCCGTTTAGCTGCCATTTCTATCTTTTCTAGTTTGTGATCCTATTGTTCTCATACTAATTCCTAGCATAAATTCACCCAATCCTGAAATAACATCTCTATAAAAGATTAAGGAAAACACACACACACACACACACACACACACACACACACACACACACACATTTGACCAGTTATTTAACCCTGATAGAACAAGATCCTAATTATATGTGCATGTTCATAAATCCAAAACCAAAAATTAACACCCAAATTGAACGGCATGGCAGTTCTAAGCTTAAATGGAGGTAGGTGCACGAAGTTAAGTGAAGTTAGAAAGACGTTCAAAATCCTCCCACAAGAATACACTATTGATCTCATTCCTATTACACTTTGACAAAGGAATTAAGGTACACAGGGTGCCTCCACTGACAAGCAATATTCCAAAACAACTAATCCCTATTCTAAGGAGTATAGGCTGCAGATGATCTCAAGTCTCAACCCCCTAGTGTTGCACTAACGGTGTGTTTGGATTGAAGGAAATGAAGGGAAAGGAAGGGAAGGGAAATGGAGAGATGGGTATCTTGGATAACAAATGAGGAAGGATGGGAATTGGTGGGGAGAGAAAGGGAGGGATAAATTTGTAGGAAATTGATCCCTCCAACAATGGAGAGATTTGGAAGGAAAACTCACCATTTTTCCCTCCCCTCTTCTTCTCCTCCCTCCCCTTCTTTTCCTTCTCCTTTCTTTATCCAAACACACTGTAAATGGGTTCCAAAGAGGAATGGATGAAAATTCTGAAAACCAACACGTTTCACAATCATATAAATGTTTTCAAGTGACACTTTTAAACATGGAACTCTTCTGGTTCACAAGACGTCAAGACCAACCCTCAGCTCAGATGTTTCCCTCCTACGAGTCCTATTTGCCCAATTCTAAATCACAAGGTAAATTCATGGATATTCTTAGTCATGTCCACTGAAAGATACAACGGCAAAAAGAAATAAGGAAAAAATGCTGTTCTCCAGCAATTTTACTAATCTAAAATATCTTTTGACAGGCCTTTGACCAACCTGTGGTACTCTTATATACGAGCTAACTCATAAGGAAACACACAGCATAGAATAAATGTAGCAGAGAGCTCAGTGATTTTACCCACTTCCCTAATTGTATGGGATGATATATGACAATGGCTGATATCATCTAAAAAGGAAAGATATCGGCCAGGAAAGGGCTGATAAGCTATAAAAAGCAGACATATAGGCCTTATCGGGCCCTACAGTGCTTGGCACGTGGCAGCCTTTTTGTTGACACTTGGCGAGAAAAGCCTTACATGCCTTGTAGCCACCTGTCATGAGGTTTATTATAAATAGTAGGTTAAGCTTCATTAAATGGTAAGCATTAATTACTCTCTCTCTCTCTATCTTTCTCTCTCTTCTTTCTCTCTCTTACTTATCATCTTATAAACACTTTCTAACTTTATCATCGGAGTGGTTTTCCCCGGACCACCCCGGGGTTAGCTGACTTCTGTTCATTGTGTAGGTTCTCAGCTTGCCGATAGAAGTATCATGATTTCAGGTTCGGGTTATCGGGTTATACAGAAACAATTTGGCGCTAGAAGGAGGGGCAGTGATTACTTCTATCGTCTAAGAACCTAACATACACAAAAGTAACAATAGCAATGGCTGAAAACAATGCAACACCCATAATAAGCAAAACGGTAAACCGACCGATTATAATGCAACCAACAATTGAAGTAGAGGATGAAACACATACATTAGAGGAAAATCAGTTCCACATGCCGTTAACCCCAGAAAGGCAGGGGGGAACGACGGTAGATCCCATGTCAGAGTTCACGCCAGAAGAATTACAAGTGGCAGCACGAGTAATGACTGCAATGAGCAAAAAAAGAAAAGAGGCAGAAATGGCTCAGGCAGAAGGGGAGGTGCCGCTAGCCAATCATGGAGAACAGTTCAACCGAGCAACAAGTTCGCCAAGACACCGTCATGAAGAAACACCGATAAGGACGCATACCACACCGCGTCACTCGGACGGGAAATCATCAGGCCGTACTGTTATAACAAGAGCCCATCAGCAAGGGAGCTCCCAGGTTGGGGGGGAAGGTACCGCGAACTGTGGTACAATTAAGGGCATCGCTGTTTGCGCAGAGCATCTTGAGTCAGCCAATGGAAAAAATCAAGATGCCAACATGTAGGTACGATGGAAGAGGAGACCCAAGTAGGTTCATAACGTCCTACGAAGGGCATATGATGCTTTACACAAATACAGATGCTGTGTGGTGCAAAGTTTTTCCAACCACGTTGATTGGGGTTGCAGCCGATTGGTTCAACAACCTAGAAAATGGAATGGTAGATAGTTTCGAAAAGTTAACTGAGTTGTTTATAGGGCAGTATGTTAGCAATAGTGTGCGGCAGAGAACATCAGGGGAATTGATGGCGGTGGAGCAAAGGGCAGATGATTCTTTGAGGGACTATATTAGACGGTTTAATAACGAGGCAAACACAATTCCAAAGTTGCAGCAAGAAATAGCAGTAATGGCTTTAATGAATGGTCTGAATGACTCTGAATTCAAGCGTTATCTTACGCGAAAGAATTTTTCAACACTGGCAGCCGCATTTAACAAGGCCCATGATTATATCAAGAGTGAAGAGTTGATGAAAACAAGTAGCAGGAGCATGACCGCTGGAAAGGGTCAGCAGCAGTTTGAAGGGTCGGCGTCTGGAAGTGGTAGGCCGAGAGCTCAGACCCCAGGAAGGGGAGGGGGAAATCGGCAAGAGTTCAGAGTTGCAAAACCGCCAATATGGTACAGTAAGTACACACCCTTGAATACACCAAGAGCGGCGATTTATTCAGTTAATCAGAGTAGAGAGGCGTGGACAAGGCCGATTCCGATGAAGGCAAAACCAAGAGATGCTAAGAAATACTGTATGTTTCACAGGGATGTGGGTCATTATACTGAAGAGTGTACGTAATTAAAAGACAACATTGAAGAGTTGAAAAGGAAAGGTCACTTGACTCAATATCGGTTAAGGGCAGGAGGGACTCAACCACCTCCAAGGCAAGTAGAAAGGCAGCAGTTGGAGGCAAGGCCTGAGAGGTCGCAAGGAGTAATCCGACAAGGAAGTGGCGGATTGCCTCCCCTCTCAACTGGAAGGGGAGTAGACGTGATAACTGGAGGGCCAGTTCATGGGGGAACTGTCAGTGAAGCCAAGAAACATTTATCTGAGCACCGACATATTATCAATGCCCTAGATACCAACAATCGTCCTCGGCCAGCATCAATCCCAGATGTGGTGTTCACGGAAGAAGATTCTAGGGGTATCGTATTTCCACATGATGACCCGTTGGTACTCATTATAAAGATTAACGGAGCAGGTGTTAAGAGAGTCCTAGTGGACGGGGGCAGTTTTGCAAATGTCTTGTTCATGAAAGCGTTCAACGAAATGATGATTGGAAGGCAATACCTGACGCAGGTGTCTTACCCAGTTATCGGGTTTAATGGGTCGACAGTGAGACCAGAAGGAAGCATAGGTTTACCCGTGCGATTGGCTGATGGACCGACTGCAAGGGATGTAATGGCGGAGTTTCTGGTGATCAATGTCTCATCAGCTTATAATGCAATTATCGGCAGACCGATAATACATGATGTGCAAGCGGTTGTGTCAACATACCATTTGACAATAGCTTATGTGTCAAATTTAGGAGCCGTAGAAAAGGTTCATGGGGGGCAAGTTATGGCAAAGTCGTGTTATTGTAGGGAATAGTTTCAAGCCTTAATCCCACTAGCTTGAACCCCATTGTGATCATACACTAAAGTACGGTGGCGTCCAAAAGGGAAGAAGATAGAGCAAAAGAGTCGCCAACAAGTTTTTAAGGAACTTGTAAAACGTTCACGAGGTGAAGGTTACACCTCTTAACGATCCAAGAGATCGTCAACTCCATAAGGTCATGAACCAAATAAGGGTTCGGGGATGATGGTACAAATCCAACCTAAAAGAGATTGAACCTGCCCTAATAATAGGCCTCTACTTTATTCTGATCGTATTCATGTGCGCTTTCTGATTAACATACAATCAATAGGATCAACCCTAAACCTGTTTAATCTATGTTGGTTGAATTTAATGCACAAATAAACTATTATTGGAGATCACTTGAATTATTATCAAAGTTAACCCTAACAAGATTATTAATTATCTTATTAAGTGTGGTTGCAAGTACCAATTCCCTTTAAACATGCAATAAAAGGTGATCAAGCAATAACAAATAAAATATATGCATATCAAGCAACATAATAAATAACATCATTAATAATAATAATAATCAATCATAATAATCATGTTAAAGCATAGCAAGATCCTAGGCATGATACTAACAAGATTAATAACAAACCCTAGCATGTCACTAAACAATAAAAATCAAATCTTTAGCCCTAACATGATACTAACAATCATAAGTATTAGGAAGAATATAGGAAGCATCGTAGCAATCATATTTAATATTAAAATTACCCTAGACATGATACTAGGAATATCATAATAATGTAAACATGATTTCTACATCATAATATCAATTAAAGTACTTACTTGGATGCCTCGTACCTCTTTCTAATAACAAAATACACGCGTTAGTAACTTTAAGGAAAATAATAACCAAAACAATTAAATTAAATAATTGAAATAGAGATTTGGGACCAAACTCTCTGAAATTAAAACCTTTCACGTTTAGGGCGAAGGCAACTTCGAATATGGATAGGTGTATCTAGATCTTGCGAATGCGGAATTTTGTGTTAAAAATAAAAGTTTAGAAAAGAATGCTAAAGAATTAATATTATTGAGAATTGATGAAAGAAAGATGATGAATGAATAAAGAGAATTAATTAAAAGCCTTGATGAATGAAGAGAGTTGATGATTAATAGATGTAGATGATGAATGAAAACGGAGTTTTTAATACGATATTTATAGAGAAAATCAGCCAAATAAGATAATTTAACAAAACAGAGTCTGAAGATCACAAAAATGCATTGGCGCCAACCCTGGCTAACTGGCTCCAGGCACCAGTGGCTAGCGCCAGGCGCCAATGGCTAGCGTCTGGCGCCAAGCCTGGTTCCAGGCGCCAAGGGCTGGGGTTGGACGCCAAAGTGGTTTTCAACGCGTTTTCGAAAATCTGATAAATTTCCTATACTGGAAAATAAAATAATATAGTTCCATCGAAAATGCTATTTGATCTTGATTAAAACTCTGAAGAGTCCTAATTGAATTAGGAATGAAAAGAACCTTCTAGAATGTTCTAGAAGACTAAAACCATTCTTTATTTCATTAGGAATGATAAATTATATTAGGCCCTCCCCTAGATCATTAGGCCGTACTTAAAGCTCAAACCGGGCCTAGTTTAGTAAATTGGCCATAATTTCCTCAATATTCATCGGAATTAGGCTTATAATATGTCGTTGGAAAGGTCTTTGCAAGCCCCATCTAACTACACCACTATTGGACTCATATCATGGACCAATAAAACTGGATTAGCTGTTTTCTTTAAAATAAAGTTTTCAAAAACAGGGAGAAGAGAAAAGAAATAAAACTTTCCGCAACACTAGACCTTTCCACACTTTCGTTTCATTTGATTATGATTCGACATGAAAGGCACTCATCACTGGGTTTGGTTTTGGGGAGACACAAATGGGTGTCTACAGTTATTTAACTGCTTTGAAAAAATCCGGTTGGAGATGGATTAGTGCCGAGTAATCCTAAAAAGGAGCTGGAGCCCATAGTACGTGACTTATCCATGGGGAACTTTGATATAAGGCCGGAATCAGCTCCGAGACCGTTGCCGGGAGGAGAAATGGTGCAGGTTGAGTTGCAGCCGGGTGACTCCAGCAGAACGGTTAGGGTTGGAGCTGATATGGATGTGGACATGAGGTGCAATCTAATAAGCCTGTTGCGCGAAAATGCCGATTTCTTTGCTTTCTCGGCGAGTGAACTGCCAGGACTACACCCAGGGGTGATGGAACACAAATTAAATGTTAATAGGGGGTTTAGGCCTGTAAGACAGAAAAAGCGTAACTTCTCAACTGAGAAGATAGAGGCTATACAGGCTGAAGTTAACAAGCTCCTAGCGGCTGGTTTTATTGAACCGTGCACATATCCGGAGTGGTTGGCAAATGTTGTCATGGTTAGAAAGCCGACGGGAAAATGGCGGATGTGTGTCGACTTTACCGATTTGAATAGGGCATATCCTAAGGATTGTTATCCATTGCCCCGGATAGATAGATTGGTGGATTCCACTTCTGGTCATGAGATGCTCAGCTTTTTAGATGCGTTTTCGGGGTATCATCAGGTCAGCCTTCACAAAGCCGACAGACCAAAGACGACCTTTATAACGGATGCAGGGGTATTTTGCTACAAAGCCATGCCGTTTGGGTTAAAAAATGCTGGGGCAACATATCAGAAGTTAGTTGACAAGATTTTTGAAGAGCAAAAGGGCCGGAATGTGGAGGTGTATGAGACGACACAATTGTTAAAAGCAAGGAAAAGAAGGATCACATAGCCAATTTAAGGGAAACATTTGAGACATTGCGGAAGTATCAGATGAAGTTGAACCTAGAGAAATGTGTCTTTGGTGTTCGGTCAGGAAAGTTTCTGGGCTTTATGGTTAGCGAGCGGGGTATAGATGCTAATCCTGATAAGGTGAGTGCAGTCCTTGAGATGAAGCAACCAAAAACAATCCGAGATATTCAAAGGTTAACTGGAAGGATGGCAGGGTTAACTCGGTTTATCAGTAAATCAACTGACAAGGCACTTCCGTTCTTTGTAACTTTGAGGCAGAACAAGGCGTTTCAATGGGGAAAAGAGCAAAAAGATGCTCTGGAAGTGGTAAGGAATCATTTACGGTCTCTTCCAACAGTGGCAAGGCCGGAAAAGGGGGAGTTGCTACAATTGTACATTTCGGCTTCCCCAAAGACGATAGCTGCAGTATTGCTAGTGGAAAGGAAGAAGATGCAAATGCCGATATACTTTGTCAGTCATGTTCTGAGTGCAACTGAAAGGAGGTACCCGGTAATAGAAAAAATGGCATTGGCAGTAGTCGTAGCGGCTAGGAAGTTGAGGCCGTATTTTGATTCACATCCAATAGATGTCCTGACGAACCATCCACTGGAAAAATCACTGCACAAAATGGATACATCAGGTCGATTGCTAAAGTGGGTTGTAGAGCTATCGGAGTACGAGATAAATTATAAGCCGAGAGTGTCAATAAAAGCGTAGGCCTTATCGGACTTCATAGTAGAAACTACCTACAATGATGAGGAAGAAGAACTGGGAACTTGGCAGGTTTCAATGGTTAATAAACCTATGCTTATGATGTATTTTGTAGAATGTTAAATATAATGTTTAAATGTTTAATATAAAGGTTAAATGTTGAATATAAGTATAAATATAAAGGTTTCAGCAGTTAACAATGTTTACAATTTTTCGTATAAATATAAATATAAATATAATATTGCACATATAATATTAGTTTGCAATGTGGCCGGTATCAGTAGATGGATCCGCAACATCAACTGGTTCAGGGGCAGGAATAATTATAACGGCCCCAGATAAAAAAAAATTTGAGTATGCGATCAAATTCAAGTTTAAAGCCACCAATAATGAGGCTGAATATGAGGCGGCCATAGCAGGGATCCAATTATCAATAGCAGCTGAAGCAAAGAGAATAATTTTGATCACCGATTCTCAATTAGTGTCCAATCAGTATTAAGGAGAATATGAAGCAAGGGAGCCGACAATGGTGAAATATACTGAAAAAATGAAAAAGTTGACGGCACAGTTGCAACATTTCAAAATCAGACTAGTGCCAAGAGCACAGAATGTGCAAGCTGATGCTTTGGCAAGACTGGCATCTTCAAGTTTCAATGACTTGGAAAGAACGGTTATGGTTGAAATTTTACAGCAAAAAAGCATAGAGGAGAAATCGGAAGTATGATGTGTTGATAACAGCACACAGTGGTTTGACAAGATACTAGCATACTTACTCTACGGAGTTCTACCTCCAAATAGGGAGGAATCAAGAAAATTGTGCAAAGACAGTGTATGGTTCATAATGTATCAAGGCCAACTGTACAAGAGAGGATTTTCGCTGCCATTACAAAGGTGCATAACAGATCTAGAATCTGTAAAATTAATCGAAGAAATACACGAGGGCACCTGCGGGAATCATCTCGGTGCAAAGAGTTGTCCCGGGAAGCAATGAGAAGGGGATACTACTGGCGAACAATGAATGAAGACGCCGTTAAGTATGTGAAGAAATGTCAAAAATGTCAAAAATTTGCACCCGCTATTAATTTGCCGTCCAACGATCTAACACCGATACTTAATCCAGTTCCTTTTGCACAATGGGGAATGGATATAGTAGGTCCGTTTCCCTCAGCAACAGGTGGAAGGAGATTTCTCATAGTAGGAGTGGATTATTTTACAAAATGGATAGAGGCGGACCCAGTGGTAAAGATAACTGCATCGGAAGTAAAAAGATTCATCTGGAAAAATATTTTCACGAGATTTGGGTTGCCTATGGCGATGGTTTTTGATCACGGAACTCAGTTTGACTGTAAGCCGGTGAAGGACTTGTTGTCCATGTATAAAGTGAAATTTGCATATGCAGCAGTCTGTCACTAGCAATCAAACGGGTAAGCAAAATCGGCAAATAAACAGATAATAGCGGCGATCAAAAAGAAAATAGAAGATGCAAAGGGCTTATGGGCCGATTTGATAC